ATCTTTTTTTAAAGGTAGCTCTATTTCCACTGCCTCTCCTCCTCTCACTCTGATCTCCATCTCTCATCTGTTACCCCTTTACCTTTGGGATTTTAAACATCACTTCTTTTTTTTTCTCTTGTTTTTCTCTAGTATTGTAATTCTCCCAACCCCTTTCCCCTCTTCTCAGTTAGCCAAGTAGATTCCCCTTCTCTTCTCATCTTCCTAGTCCTGTTCATCAGTTTTTTAAATTTCTTTTTTGGTGCCCTTTTCCAAGAAGGATTTCTCTTACTCTCCTCATTATCAATCCTCTCTTTTTGTCTACTTTGGACCTTCGTTCTCTGATTCAAGACCCCTATAGTTGTCTGGTATCGCTCTCTTCCTCATATTCCTCATGCAATCAACATTTCCAAGTTGTCCATTTTAGTGTTTTCTCTTCAGGCAACTTTTGCCACTGCCTTGTAGAGTGTGCCCTGTGGTGTCCCTTATTCCACTGCACCTCACTCTCAGAGCAATGCTAATTACTGTTGGTGTCAGAGAGGTCACTGCCCCATGGTATGATTCTTCTCACACCATGTCCCTGATTATGTAGTCAAACCTTGGTCTGTACCCTCCACTAGTTACCTTTCTCCCATCTTCCTCAAAATCTTATTCCTGAGTCCATGCTCTCTCCCACTCCCCCAGGTGCCAGTTGCCCCCAGGAGTTCTATGCTCCATTCCCCCCATCCAAAGGTATGACAAGTAAACTTTTCAAACACCAAATCCCTCAGACTTTCCCTTCACAGACCATCTCTTTTCTCCCATAGAAGCATTCATTAGTAGAATCCCCTTCTAGCACCAAAGCAAGGCTTCCCTTTCTGTTCCTTCTCCTCTTCTCTTTACTCACTCCCCTTCAGGCTTTTCTCTTTCTGAGACCAGAAGTCACCTTCTCCTCATTGCTAGGTCTTGATTTGACCCAAGCATATTACACATTCCTTTCTATCCTCCTGCTCCCCTCCTCTTTTTCATGACCCATCCATGTTGTAATGTAGTCCCACAAACAACACTGATTCACCTTTAGGTAGCATGTCATCAGGTTCTATTCATAATGCCCCAGACCTGCCTCTTCACTGTTACTATTGATGGACTTTCTCCTTTACCCATCTTCTCAGGAGCATTTAGAAAGAAATCTTTCAAAGTTCTCTCTGTTGTCACTCTATTTGCCGTTGAGATCCTTGCCTTTAGTATTTTTTCACTCTTCCTGCATTTCTGTTGTTTGGGGTGTCTGAGAGGCAAATAATCTCTTCAGTTCTGGTTTCTTTCTAAAAATGTTTCAAAGTCTTATTTATTACTGGAAATCCATCTTTTTAGATTCATATTTAAGCTTAGATTTTCAGGATAGGTCATCCTGGTTGTATTCTGAGCTTGGTTGCTCTTCAAAACAAAATGTTCCATTCCCTCCTATGTTTTCTGATGAGTGCAGAATAGTCTTAGATTATTCAAATTTCTTTTCCTTTGTATTTGAAAGTCTTTTTCCTAATCCCTTGCAGGACTTGTTATTTTTGAATTGAATTGTTAAATTTAAATAGTATATGTCTTGGAGTTTGCAGCACCACCACTCCCCCTTCTTTTTCTTCTTCTGGAGGTGAGCTATAGATTCTTTCAACTGGTATTTAATTTTCTATGTTCAGAAGTTCTGGGCAATTATCTTCTATTATTTTCCTGCATTACAGTGTTAAGGTTTTTATCCTGTTGTGTTCTTCTGGGAGACCTATGAGACCTATGAACTTTTGGTTGTCTCTAAACATGCTATCTTTAATATCAATATTGTTTTGCTTGCAAAGTGAGAATATTTTCTTCTTATGTTATTGTTTTTTGCTCCTCCTCAGGGAATATTGGAAGGAAACAAATGAGTGTTAGAAAAATTTCTAGGGGATGTTGCACACTCCCAGGGCATGGACCTCTTCTTTCTCTTCCCACAGTCTTTAGGGAGCATGCTTTTGTGGTTACTAATGCCTTACATAAAGCCCGATAAATGTTTAAAGACTGTGGGGAATATTGTAGATGTCATGTTCAAGCCAAAATTTAGAACAATAAATATCCTGTTGTTTTATTCCTACTTTTTAATGTTTTTTTTTCCTATCTCTTTTCTCCCTATCAGGACTTCATTGTGTTTGGTATGCCTGCCTCTAGAAGGCCACCTGTTGTAGGAGATGGAATTTGTGGGAGACTATATGGAAAAGAAGGGTTGACTGAAGAGTTTCTCATTTTCCAGCTTTTTGTGACCCTAGCCAATTGAATGATATCTAACACCTGCCCAAGAGTAGCGTGAACCCAGACAAATGAATGAATTAATGCAATCTCTGGTGTGAAGTTCCTGATTAGTTGTCCCAACATGTTGAGGCTCACTACATTGTTGTGAAGCACCTCCCTACAGCAAAATGTTAAGATGAGTAATTATCAGAGAATTCAGTCCACAAAGACGACCAAACTTGAAAATTGTGTGTGTGTGTGATGCTACTAGTAATTAAAGAAAACAAACTCCCACAATGGTAATGTCCAAAAACTATATGCTAGATGTAGATGGTATTTGTGGTATAGTGGGCAGAACACTGGCCTTGGAGTCTGGAAAAACCTGTGTTGGAATCTTAGCTCTGAAATTTACTAGGTATGTCACTGATTCATTTCTGCTTTCTGAAACTCAGTTTCCAAATTTCAAAAATGGGATAATGACACTTGAGCTTCATATTTCATAGGCTTGTTTTGAGCAAAGCACGGTGTATATCTTAAGCCATTTTGGAGAGGGTCATGGACTTCTTTGGCAGCCTGGTGAAGCCTATGGACTCCTTCTTAGAAATTTTTAAATGCATAAAATTAAAAAGGATTACAAAGGAAACCAATTCTATCAGTTTATCTAGCTATCTATCTATCACTCTGCCTTAATACTCAGGTGTATTCTGTACATAGCTATTCTTATTTGTATGTTGTTTCTTTTATTAGACTATGAGTTCCTTGAGTTCTGGGGATAAGGCCTTTATTCCTAGACCTTAACACAGTATCTGGTACATAGTAGGTGCTTAATAAATGTTTATTGATTGACTTGATGTGACCTTCATTTTCCTCCTTTTAACTCTTGCTCTTTTTGAAACTTTTTTTTTTACTCTTCTTATCTTTCCTTCATTTTGACCATGTGTATTTATTGAATAACTGTCCAGATGAAGGTGTTCAATACTGCTTATCATCATTGGTCTTTCCTTTATTCTGAAGATGGATTAGAATAGGTAGAAAGCTTTTATTTGTGTAAGGGAGATCACAGTGAGTAACTGATAAGAAAGACAGGGCTTACCCCAAATTTCTAGAGAATTTTGAGGTTCCTACCATGACTACAACTCCTGAGATTTCCCCAAAGTATTTCTTCCTGAATAAGATGGGGGGTGGGGAACTGGCACTTTGGTTATTGGGTCACATTACAGGAAACTTAATCAGGGTTTATAAATCAGGGTCTGGAGTTAGAGCAAAAGTAGAATTTTATAAAGTAGGTGATTATTGTACTGCTCCGGTTGTGTAAATCAGTCAGCTGTATCCAAAGTGTAAAGGAAGGTTCCTTAAATCAAAGCATTTTATTTAGGAATTCCTCAACACGATTTGTGAATCTCTTGTAAGGTTTGTAAACGCCAATTGGGGGGGTAAGTAAATCCATTGCCTACCTTATAAAGCAGCTGAATGTTTTTTTTTTAACTAAATCTAATTTTTGAAATAATGATTTCTGAATCAAAACTTAGCTGGGAAGATTTACTGGTAAGTTTTATAAATCAGAGGCAAGATATATAACTCAAACAGTGAGAAGTACAGATTTATAAATCCAACTTGTAAATCAACAGAAAAAAACATCATGTTTTACACTAAATAATATTTTTACAAATGACACCTCATACATCATGCAATTGCCACAAATCTTTTAACATCGGAGTCAGGGTACACAGCATTCAGCTGAATCGCAAAGAAAAATTGCGAAATGGGTGGTGGTGAGGGGAGTCGTGTTTACCAGCAAAGGGATTATGGGCACAGTGGCAATCAAAAGCTGTTTGCTCTCTGTTCTGGCCAGCCACAGACATTGGCTTATTTGCTTTCTCTGCCAAGGAGCTCTGAGCCATGACAAGGCCTGACTGGAGAGATGACCATAGGTTTCTAGGAAACTGGAGACTGTGGGCTACAACAGAGCTAAGCAGTGGATTTGATCAGCAGATGCTTAGGAGTCAACTTGCTTCCATCTTCTGTATTTTGCTATGCTTTACCTTTCCAGAACTCTTGGGTTCAAGAAGGGAAATGATTTTCAGGGAGATTCTTACTATACGTAGAACTCATTTTGCAAAAATAGACAAATTCTCCCCCAAATGACTTGAGTGCATCATTGGAGGATCTCTATCATGCTTCATTATGTGTGGGGCTCTTGTAATAGATGGCACTAGCTCTCTAATGGTTATGGAACTCTGATGCTCATTTTCCCTTTTTCATTTTTATTGCCAGTAGGCTTTGGGGGCTAAGGGGTATTTTTATTTAGATTCACTGAATCATCTATTTGGCAGTTGGATGAATTTCTTTGCCTATCTACGTGAGCAATGTCTACAGATTCCATTTGGTCAGCCTGGCTATTCACCCAACTCAAACTAAATCAAGCATACCACAGCTTGGAGTTTTTGGAGTAAGGAAAATAGAATCAGAGTCCTAGATGATGGGAAACCAGTTAGATTTCATTTCACAAATGTGAAGTAAAATCATACCTTCTTCTCTGAGGCCTCTGACAAATTAATTTGTTCACAGAAAAGATTCTATAACCAGTAGCTTCCTATCCACCAAACAGGGTATTCGCTAATATTTGTGGGCTGCTTAAGCAATCAGTCCTGCTAGATATTGGCAGTGTTTTCAGTAACAAACATAGACATCATTGCTGGAAGCCTCCTAAAGGAAGGGGCTAGGTTTGGTTAATTTTTTTTTTTGCTTTTATTTGCTTCATTTAAATATGCTACAAAGAGGAGGGGAAAAAAGGAACTTTTATTTCTAAAATTCTCCTCAACCAAAAAAATCAATGGATGATTGAAGAGATGGTGAAAAGGTAGGCATACTGATGCATTGTTGGTGGAACTGTGAATTTATACAACCATTTTGTTTCAATTAACAATAATTGTGCCTCGGATAAACCTCATTGGCTATGATACTGCCACTGCACAAAGCTTGTACAACCATTTTAGAAAGCAAATTGGAATTAATGTATATAAAGTGACTAAAATATCCAAAGCCTTTGAGCTAGAAATTTCACTACTAGGTCTAAATGCTTATTCTAAGTCATGGTAAGAAGAAAGTCCCTATATACACAAAAATATATTTATAGCGAACAACTGGAAACAGTAGATGGCCATCAATTGGGAAATGGTTAAACAAATTATGATATGTGAATGGAATGGAATGTTATTGTGCTATAAAAGTGAGTATGATGATACATGGAATGTATGGAGAAATGTGGAATGACTTGCATGAACTGATGCAAAATGAAAAAAGCAGAGCCAAGAAAACAATATATACAATGACTATAATAATATAACTAGAAGGAACAAGTATAAAATAATTTTTAAAAATTAATAGCAAAATTTAAAAGAACAACTATGGTCCTAAAGAAAAGAAATGAGAATGCTGTTACCCCCAATCCTCCAATTCCTTGACAGAGGTCCAATGTGTGGAACACTGAATATATTCTCAGATTTTTAAAATCTATTGATTGTTTTACTGATTGCTTTTCTCTTCTTCTTCTGTCTGTCTCTCTGTCTCTTTGTTGTCCTATAAGATGGCTCTCTGGGAAGGGGAGTGGAAATAGCCAGTTCAGATAGGGCTAGAAACTCTAAGATCATGCATTAGGGTAAGAGGTGGTCACTCTGTAATTTTAGGCTTACTTTATTGGCATTTCTCATGCCAGAAACTTGTTCCTGAAAGCTGGAATACCCATTAGTGAGCAAGGTGTATCTACTTTCTCCCTTCCATCTCCCCTTGCCCTGAGTCTTGGGAATTTGAAAAGCAGATATTGGTCACAGACATCACCCACTGCTTGTTTCCTCCAATCTCCCATCTAGCTCCCATCTCTGTCAGGGATTGGGAAGAATTCAGAGGGCATGTTCACAGGGTGGGGGGAATCTGCAGCTGGCCTGCAATGACCCTAGGCCTAGCGATAAAACTTTCAAGTCAGTGCCAGACCCGCCCCCCCCAACCCAATCTGGTCCCTTTTCTGGGCCTAACATCTTCATTCCAACTAGATTGAGGGCAGCTGCAGGGCCTCTGGATTCTTCTGTCAGTTGGATGACTGAGAGGACTATTTAGATTTCTTATCTGGAACAGTTGTCTAAAGAAATGAAATATTTCAGAGGAAACGGGGATGAAAGAAATTGTGTTGACCCCTAAAAGAACAGTTGCAGTCCCACACTAGCTTTCTTCCACTCACCAGGACACTGGAGAAACTCTGAATAACCTCCACCCTGCTCACAAATTCACTCAAAAAAGAGAGAACCTGGGCTTTTATATGACTTTTTGCCAAAGGCAGCTGTTTCACTGACTGCTCAAGTAGCCCAACAGAGCTTAAGCACATCTGTTATGCCACCCTAGGTTCAGTATTAGCATTGGTTTAAGGAAGAAGGGTCAATGCCCACTTACAGTTATGATCAGGCATGAGACCTGTGCTCTTGGAACACTTAGGAGTATTCCTGCTTTCAGGGCTACTCACAGGAAGAGTGACTTTTTCCCCAGGAAGCCTAGAGTTTAAGGACAGAGAAATGTAAGATCAGCCCAATGATTTAGTAGCATAAGCATATGTCTGATGCCAGGCATGAGCCCGAGGCAGAATTAACTAATGGGAGCACTGCTCCTTTGACTACCTGGTTGCTGGAGGTCCTTCTACCAATTTTCTCATGGCAAATAGCTCTCCATCTAGCTGGAACATTAAGGAAATACAATGATGGTTTGATGGATTCAGATATCTAATAAAACTGCACTGCTTCCCCTGCTCTTCAATAGTCAATAAACATTTATTAAGCACCTACTCTATTTCAGGGACTGTGCTAAGAAAAATAAATATAGCTGCTGGCCTCAAGGAGCTTACCATCTAAGGGAGGAAGAAAAAATTTAAAAGGAAGTTGAAAATGGGGGGCGGGGCAGGGGCACGGGAGGGTACTCTGCATATGATGTTTGAGTAGTGGAAACCCATCAGAGATGATGATGGAAATTAAGAGTTACCTGGAAAGTTATGAACCTTCTATAAAGGAAAGTTTTGGGAGGAGTTTACTGCTCTACCCTCCAGCCCACCAATCAGAGGGGAGAGAAAACTGAAGGTGCTGAGAAAGGGTAGAGTATCACAAGCTGTTTCAATCTGCATGATAATGAAATTTCCGGTGATGAGTGTATCTTGGGGGAAGACCTAATGTTTGATGCAGAGTCCCTAATGGAAAATGAAGAATGAAATGAAGTCCTTCGGAAGTCCCAAAGGGTTCTATTTTTGATGAAGTCCTTGGCTTTACTTCATGGGGAGGACTTACTCTTTCCAAGTATGGAAGGATTCCGCACTTCCCAATCTTTGAGCGGAGTGCTTGGCTCATCGCTGGTATAATAAAGGTCTGATTTACTCACAAAAACTTCGAATGAAAAAAAAAGGATTAAAAAAAGCTACCATATCCTAGTCTGGCCACCTGGAATATCAAACTGTAGAAATCAAGGCCTGTCTCCTTAATGCTTTGAGCTTAATGTATCGGCAACTTTGGCAACTCAGGAGGGGATATCTGATTTAATATTTGGAGAGTTCATGAACGCAACTTCCAGAGATTTGGCATGGGAGGCAGCATTTTCCCCAAACCCTCTGACTTCTGCACAGCCCAGCCACCTCACGCTGTATTCCATGAATAAGATATGAACAAATTAAGGCCCAAAGGACTGTGATTGAGATTTCTCCAGTGATGGCTGACTCAACCAACGTCACATGAAGCTTGCCTTTCCCTCTCCTTCTAAATGCCAACATGATTATGCATTGAGCTGCTGCTATTTACAGATTTCTTAGCACAGAGAGTATTATACAGCCAATGACACAGAATTACAACAATCTAGACATATGGTTTAGATAAACAAAGCACAAAGCGCAAATTAACCATGGTTGACTATAACTCCTGCTTCCCGTTCCCCAGGGAGGGACTTCGGTGAAACTCCTCATCAAAGAAAGCAATCCATATCTTCAAGTAGAGCATACACGGCATAGTTTAGACAAATGCTAAGCTCTATTTAATGCTCTTCACAGTGTCAGAGCATGATGGCACCAACCTGTCTGGGGAACAGAAAGCTCTATCACTGGCCCAGCTTCTTTTAAATTGTAGCTCTGTTTCTTCAGGATTGCAAGCTTGCATGCCCTAAGATCCGAGTGTCTCTGGAAATGTTATCACCTGCCAGCCCAGCTTCTGGGAACCAGCATGTCTGGCACTATTCCGCATGGGACCAACAAGCCCTCTGCCAAGCTGGGCATCTTGGTGACCACTGTTCAGGATCTATTTGGTCTTTGCCACCCTTGTCTTCTTCATTCCTGTTTCTGACCTAACAAAAAACATTGCCTAGCAAGACGGGACTGTCAAACCAGCAACATCTTTGTTTCAAGGGGCAGGCATGTTCTTGTTTCTGGCAGTAACACATCCGCTCACTTCCCATATCTAAAACTTGATCAGAAACTCTTCCACAGCAGGAAACTTTCTGTGTGAGGTCCCCCCATAAACATTTTTGCATCAGGGATGACATACATACCGTATAAATTTTGTTTGACAATGGGACAGTACGATATTTGCCCTTAAAATGCATATATATTATTTTACAAAGGGAGAATCAAAGTGAAAAATAGCTACAGCCAGGGAAATAATAGTTGGAAAACTTTTGCAAAATGTTCCCAAAGCTAAAAAAATTGGCCTGCTTCTTCCCTAAAAATGATTTCACTGTCTGCTGTAGTCCCCTCATGTCTTTGGAGGGTCTAGGATCTGGTAATCCACCCGGTGATATTGACCCATGAGTGGATTGGAAGTATGTAGGATCATAGAAGAATCAATCTGGAGTGGAAAAGACCTTTGAGTTCATCTGGTCAAAATTGTCTGCACTTTACAGATGAAGAAACTTCGATTGACTGGAGAGTAGCATGCCCAAGGTCACACAGGTAGTAAGGGACAAAGCTGGGATTTGAAACCAGTTCCTCTGACTAGAAACTTGGCACCCATTCCACTGCATCCTACTACCTCTCTTTTCAGCAATAGATCACAGAGCGTCACTCAATGCAGGGAGAATCAATTTAGGGAGAGCTAAATTTCATTAGCTGATAAGGGGCAAAAACAACATAAGCTCTCCTAACAAATTTTGCTTTGGGGAATTAGCATGAGAATGACACAAAAGACCAAAAGACAACATAAATTGACCAGCCTGAAACATTAAGAAGAGATACACTATGCTTCAGATATCCTCCTGTCTAATGTCCACAAATGGGAGTTTCTTGGGCCCAATGGTAATTGTGTAATTTTTATATAATTTTCATATAAACAAACCAAAGGACCTTGACTGTGGTGCCATAGAAAAGACATTTGATTCATAGTCCAGGGAACTGGGTCCACGTCATGGTTCTGTAACTAGCTTTCTTCTTAAACTTGAGCAAATTACTTCCCGTCTCTTAGCCTCAGTCTCCTTATCTGTAGAATTGGGCATTTTAATGAGGTAATCTCTAATGTCTCTGTCACTGAATGTCCCTTAACATCACTGAAATACTATTAATTTCCTTATTGAGAAGACTAGGTAATGAACCCAGCCTAATGGATGCGAACCATACTCAGGCATGTCTGCTCTTCTGTCATTTTTTTACTTTCTTGCTTAGATCTTAGCACCTTCTAAATGAAGATGGTCATAAAAACACGTGCTGGCCATGTCCACTACACAGTGGTGCCCACCATATCCTTCTCTTCTTCAGCAGGATGACAGCCAGGGTTCTCAGAATCAGTCAACTGAATTTCCTCAAAGCAGTTCCATGACTTCCAGATAGACTTTAAACAAATGTCAGTGTGGTGTGTATAAAGTGCACGTGACTTGGAGTCAGAGGCCCTGAGTTTGAGACCTAGTTTTATCACTTACCAACTGTGTGTGTCCCTGGTCAATTTACTTTTACTACAATTTACAATTTAGTCTAAT